GATCTAAAGGGATCTGGGAGATGAGGGGGAGGGCTGATTGGGGAGGGGGGAACGGGGAGTGGGGAGAAATAAGAGTGAGGATTGAAAGTCCAAAATGGGAATATTGAGCCCTGAGGAAAGGAAGAAAAGGAAGAAGGGGTAGAAGGGAAAAAAGAGGAAGAGAAAGAAGATAGAAAAATATGGTAATATGGTAGATAATGAGTACAGCAGCCGTAATATGCTGTAACATTACGTCAACACGTCATCAACTGCAGTTTATTCATCTGATGTATGGGACAGGTTGTTGTGGTAGAACTGAACTATTATTAATTTTAACTGTTGTTGCGGGCGGTAGAACTGTACTATAAGGAATAGTAAATACGTATGGTATTCCTTCATTCTATGTCACATTATTAAGTAATTATGTCACTTTACTTACTTAGCAATTATATAACTTTACTTACTTAGTAATTATATCACTTTACTTACTTAGTAATTATATCACTTTACTTACTTAGTAATTATATCACTTTACTTACTTAGTAATAACATCACATTAATTAATTAGTAATTACACCACTTTACTTACTTAGTAATTATATCACTTTACTTACTTAGTAATTATATCACTTTACTTACTTAGCAATTATATCACTTTACTTACTTAGCAATTATATCACTTTACTTACTTAGCAATTATATCACTTTACCTGCTTAGTAATTATTTCACTTTACTTACTTAGCAATTTTATCACTTTACTAACTTAGCAATTATTTCACTTTACTTACTTAACAATTATATCACTTTACTTACTTAGTAATTATATCACTTTACTTACTTAGTAATTATATCACTTTACTTACTTAGTAATTATATCACTTTATATTTCTTAGTAATTATATCACTTATTTATTTAGCAATTATATCACTTTACTTACTTAGTAATTATATCACTTCACTTAGTAATGATATATAAACAAATAAAAGATTCTTTATTAACATTAATGGTGCGACATGAAAATATTTTAGTTCCCCATGCCCCAACAGGTGGGGGGTGGCGGGGAAGAGGGGATGGAGGAGAGAGAAGATGGAAAGGGGGAGTGGAGAAGGGAAGATGATTGACACATTAAAGTGACAAGAATGGGAAGAAGGAGGAAGGGGGAGTGGGTGTATTTGAGAGGGAGGTATGGGGAGGAAGGGAGGAGGGGGAGGAGGTTTGAGCATCTTAGGGGGAAATGAGTGGCGGGCTGGCATAAAAGTTAGCACTGCAATCAGGGAAATGGACATCCCTCCCCTCCCCTCCCTTAGAAGAGTCCTACAGCTGCTGGGGAGGAAGGGGAAGAGTCCTACAGCTGCTGGGGAGGAAAAGGAAGAGTCCTACAGCTGCTGGGGAGGAAGGGAAAGAGTCCTACAGCTGCTGGGGAGGAAGAGGAAGACTCCTACAGCTGCTGGGGAGGAAGAGGAAGACTCCTACAGCTGCTGGGCAGGAAGAGGAAGAGTCCTACAGCTGCTGGGGAGGGAGGGGAAGAGTCCTACAGCTGCTAGGGAGGTCTCTTATACACATCTTACACTGAAAATTTTTTCCAAATCTCGTACATGATCATCCCACGAGTTTGAATACACNCCTACAGCTGCTGGGGAGGAAGAGAAGAGTCCTACAGCTGCTGGGGAGGAAGAGAAGAGTCCTACAGCTGCTGGGGAGGAAGAGAAGAGTCCTACAACTGCTGGGGAGTCTTGCAGAGTTCCTACAGTAACGCTCTACGAACTGCAGCCCGCATTGCTTATATAAAAATTTGTTGCAGAATAAAACTTCATTTCAGGTGCAAATCATTCGTGCAGATTTGATTTATCCCTGAGGATTTTGAACCTTCTTGAAGGTTATACAAAATTTGGTAGATATTAACCATACTTGTACATTTAAAGCATCATTGTTGATTTTAATTGAGCTGATCAATAATCAGAACGTGGCCGTCCATCAGAGTGGCCGTCCATCAGAGTGGCCGTCCATCAGAGTGGCCGTCCATCAGAGTGGCCGTCCATCAGAGTGGTCGTCCATCGGAGTTGCCGTCCATCAGAAGTACCCGTCCATCAGAAGTACCCATCCATCAGAAGTACCCGTCCATCAGAGTGGCCGTCCATCAGAGTGGCCGTCCATCAGAAGTACCCGTCCATCAGAAGTACCCGTCCATCAGAGTGGCCGTCCATCAGAGTGGCCGTCCATCAGAAGTACCCGTCCCTCAGAGTACCCGTCCATCAGAGTACCCGTCCATCAGAGTGGCCGTCCATCAGAGTACCCGTCCCTCAGAGTGGCCGTCCATCAGAGTACCCGTCCCTCAGAGTGGCCGTCCATCAGAAGTACCCGTCCATCAGAAGTACCCGTTAATCAGAAGTACCCGTCCCTCAGAGTACCCGTCCATCAGAGTACCCGTCCATCAGAGTGGCCGTCCATCAGAGTACCCGTCCATCAGAGTACCCGTCCATCAGAGTGGCCGTCCATCAGAGTGACCGTCCATCAGAAGTACCCGTCCATCAGAGTGGCCGTCCATCAGAGTGGCCGTCCATCAGAGTACCCGTCCATCAGAGTGACCGTCCATCAGAGTGGCCGTCCATCAGTGGACGACGCTAAGACGGGCGCTAAGTGGGCAGCGGCATTTTAAGCGTCCACGCTAAGAGGTTCCGGTGCGCGGGTCCCAATTTTTGCCGCCGCCGCTCAGCGTTTGACTGGCGAGGCTGTCGCAATTTACGAGAACTGCACTTAAGTCCTTGTTTGAATTTACGGCCGTGTTATCGCCGTATACGGCCGTGTTATCACCGCACTACGGCCGTGTTATCGCCGTATACGGCCGTGTTATCGCCGCACTTCGGCCAGTTATTGGCCGTATATAACGCGCCTAAAGTTCAACTTTCAACCCAAACTTGAGACTAGACTGAAAATTATACTCGAACCTTGACTAAAATAATGGCCGAAACATCATTGGCCGCCGTTAAACCGCCTATATTTTGTTATAACTAAGAAGGGTCGAGAAGTTTTGAGGGGACAAGCGATTTTTTATCCTGACGTCGCTTTGTGACCCGATATTTCGACTGCCAAATGAGGGATCCTTTGAAGCCATTAACATTTCTGGATCTGCAGCAACTTTTTCCTTGCCCTGCGTTAATTCTTTACAAGAAAAACCTTGAGCTTTTGATCTAGAATTTGTCAGGAGGAGACGGTGACCTGAGGGATGATGTGGCATGTTCACTTCACCATTTCCTTTATCGTTATTGGCATGACATTTGCACTTAGAGTCATGATATGGGTCATCTTGGTTATGACTGGTATTATATAGGTCATGATAGGCATGACCTAGACAGGGATTGCCACTTCCTTCCATTCCTAGGAGCTACTCTTTTAAAGCACAGTGCTGTATAAGAATAAAAACTGTTCAATAACCAAATGATGTAAGCGAACTCTGATACATCTGATCTCTGATAACTCTCATCTGTGATTACACTCTTCGATCGTATTTAGAAATGTTTGATCTAATTGAACGTTTTTCCCTTTTCCAATAACAAATTCAAATTTCATTAGTTGTATTTAATGCCAATCATTTGAAAAATTCATTTGATTCCTTCAAACAGTTAACAAGAAAATAAAATTTGAATATCACTTAAAATACAACTCGCGAACGTTGTTTAATTATTTCTCGGTACCTTCCCAGTGGCTCCCAAGCCCTGATCGAAGACTCCATTCCCCTACCACGGTCCCGGAACTCTTCCACCCCCTCGATCCCAATGCCCCAACTTCCCCATCACAGTCCCAAGACCCCCAAGACCCGCGGTCCCTAGGTCACCCCACCTCACGGTCTCGAAGCCCCATCCTCCTCAGCAGGGCTTGTAGCCCCCCTTTCCCCACAGGGTCCAACTTGGGGCTGGAGCAGAAGTTGCAGTCCCCGCATGGGGGTTTCAATTATTCTATGTAACGCGCTTAGCAAGTTTGCTCGAGTTTTATGTTGCGTTAATTGAGACTCACGGCGGCCTTATTTAGGCACGACCTGCCGTGCATACGTCGTGCTGGGGGACTAACGCAGCCTTGCTGCACGCAACAGCCACAGCAACAGCCACAACAGCAGCCACAGCAAACAGCAACAGCCACAGCAACAGCCACAACAACCACTGCAGCAACAGCCACAACAACAGCCACAACAACAGCCACAGCAACAGCCTCAACAACAGCCACAGTAACAGCCACAACAACAGCCTCAACAACAGCCTCAACAACAGCCTCAACAACAGCAACAGCCACGATAACATTATATTCTGCAAAACTATCTCAATAACTGCAGCTTCATCAAGAACAGTGGACTTCAAGGAAAATAACGGCTGTCCTGCATGCAAATGAAAGAAACCGACGTAGGAAGAGAAATTGACATTGCAACACACTTATCAGCCCCATCATCATCATCGCTGATTGTGCAACAACTGCCACATCACCACTAGTATCACCACCGATGATAAGTACAATTTCATCATCATCATCGCTGATTGGGCAATAACTGCCACATCACCACTAGTATCACCACCGATGATAAGTGCCATTTTATCATCATAATCGCTGATAGTGCAACAACTTGGATGATGGTGCAATAAGACGTCCATATTGCGGGCAGGACGGGCCGCCAGCCCGACCAGGCCCCGTTAACGGTCCGTTTTAATGGCCCGTGCAGCGCATGAGTTTGGCTGTCGAGGATATAACTTGATAAGCGCCGATATATTGCACACCTGCGCTGCTTCTGGTCTACCCTCACAGCCCTCACTACCCTCAACTTCCCTCTGAAATGTCTGGTGGTCAGCGTCGTTCGACTAATTCAAAAATATTCCAGAGAATGCCGTACTCCGTTGATGCTTCGAGTCGTCATTGAAAGATTACCCGCAGCCTGAAACTTTTCTCACCTTCCCTCACCTTCCCTCTTTCCTTCAACTTGACTCAAATTCCCTCAACTCAAATCAACTTCACTTGAATTCACTCAACTTCCCTCAACTTCTCTCACCTTTCCCCACCTCCCCTCTACTTCCCTCACCTTCACTCTACTTCTCTCAACTTCCCTCATCTTCTCTTACCTTACCTCACTTTCCCTCATCTTCCCTCAATTTAATTCAACTTCCCTCGCCTTCCCAAACTTTCCTTCAAATTCCTTCACCTTCCTTCACCGTCTCTCATCTACCTTGAATTTCCCGAAACTTTCCTCAGAAATAAGTGGTTTCAAAACATCCTTTTCCCCCTAAACTAATTTATTTTATGTTTCTAGTTATGATTGAATAATTAACTGTATTCAAACATGATACAATATTCATTGTTACATGCAAACAGAACGTATTGCAATGTAAATTTCAATGTCATATATTATAGTATACATATTACTTTGAATCATAAGCAATGCGATAAACTATGCAGAAAGCAGTTTAGGTGCAAAATCGTGATTGCACTACACGTTCTTATAATTACAGTTATTATTAGTTGCCTTAAATATTGAAAATATTTCAGTTTTTATGACGATGTCGTTAATTGCTCGATAACGATAAAAGACTGGTCTGAGCTCAGTTTATAAATCAAAACAATTCAAAAATCTAAATTTTGAATTATTTTTATTCTTTTAAATAAAGGATTCAACCCACAAATTATGGGTTCAAGTCGAAATTGTTAAGTCGCAGTGTCAATAAAAAATGCCTATATTTATGACATTTGAATAACACATTCCTGTCCTGATTAATTCTTGTTCATATAAATATTGAATTCTTGTCCGTATGAATGCTGAATTTTTGTCCATATGAATACTGAATTTTTTGTCCATATGAATACTGAATTCTTGTCCATATGAATACTGAATTCTTGTCCATATGAATACTGAATTTTTGTCCATATGAATACCGTATTCTTGTCCATATGAATACTGAATCAGTGTCTGCACTGCTGGGAATAAATGCAGCGGCGCAGGTAAAGAAGCCGTTGCATAACACCACAATATCCCGCAGAGCCTCCATTGCGTGTGAATACTGCACAAAGATCAGGCTCGGTATCCGACGAGGGCATAAGAGGGCAATAATGGGCCCTCTAACTGGCGGCTGAGGGTAATTTTGGCGGCTGAGGGTAATTTTAATCCGCTATGACCACTTACAGGCCGCGTGCAGCAACTCCACGGCGCTTTACCGCCTTGTTCTGACCGCACTCGGATTAAGCGACAATCAGGCTGCTTTGCGGCCCTGATCCTGCGGTCCATTAAGGCGGCGATTTGTTAGCATTTCATTACTTACTAATGGCAGAGTTTTATTCGTATGTTTATATTTATTTAGAGTTATGCACGGCAAAAAGGTTTATTCATTCAGTTGTAATTATTAACGTCTTTTCAATTTACTCATAGCAAAAGACGTTTATTCATTCACTTGTTTTTTACTCATGCATACTCATGGCATTCGTTCAATTATACTTTATTCATGATTACTCAATTTAATCATGACAGTGAGGTATATTCACACTTTTTGGCTAATTAGGTCCGTGAAATAACTATTGGTTAGGCGTGAATTATAATTATAATTAGGACTGAATTCTGGTATGAACTATGAAAAGGAAAAATTCAAGAATTTGCGGAAAAAATATGAGACTAATAATTGACCACATGAAAAATATGAATTATGGCACAAAAATACCCTAAAGAATGTTTAATCAAGAGTTACTGGCATCATTCAAAATAATATGTCTCAAACCATCCAAAAATATTTTATGAAGGTATCAGAAAACTTACCATCTGAAAATTCCGGATGAAAATATCGTAAAACTTATTGAAAGTCTGAAAATTTAGAGTGATAGTTTGTTGCAAATATGTAGTTTGATGAACTAATTAAAGATTGTATTTAATTAGGTCTGCTGACCTAACAAATTGAGCCATGCAATCTCATTAACCAGCGATGCAATCAATGATAATTTGCGAATGAATCATCGGTAAAACAATAAAAAAAACAAAATAAAGCAATCATCGATAACTAACGAAGCGATCATCAATAACTTGCCAAGCAATCACCGATAACTAGCTATGCAATCTCCGATAACACAAGCGTCAATCATTGGTAACACACGAAACAATCACCGATAATACAAGTGGCAATCATCGATAACACACGAAGCAATCATCGATAACTAACAAGCAATCATCGATAGCTAACAAAGCAATCATCGATAACTAACAAAGCAATCACCAATAACGCACGAAACAATCACCGATAACACAAGAAACAATGCCGATAATTCAAGCGGCAATCACCGATAACGCACGAAACAATACCGATAATACAAGTGGCAATCATCGATAACACACGCGGCAATCACCGATAACTATCGAAGTAATAACAAATAAAAAAATCAAGAAAGTTATAGCAGCGAAAGCTAGCACAATTGTTAGAATATGTTAAGCTTGAGCCGACGTTTACAGCTGCCGTGTGATTGTCGAACCCGGCAAACAGCCTGCAATAAATAGCGCAGTTAGCGCGCTAATGCCCAATTAATGACGTTAGGTGCGTAACAAGACGCTAACTAGCCCTCAAAACTTGCCCTCTGAGCCCTCGTTCCGAGTTTTGTTAATTACTGAACATTTGGCTAAGTTTGGGAGCTTTAGGAAGATCTTATGCAGTTCGTCTTAGATTTTATTGCATCGTTTGGTGCAAGACGTGCTGACTCCGACACCCATTCCGTCGAATTGCCCCCACCTGGGGGAAGTGGGGGTTATGGGGACCAAGATAAAGGGGGGTTAAGGTGGGGTAGGGCGGGCATCAGGTATAAGTAAGTAGGGGATGAGGTGGGGAGTAAAGGTGGGGTAAGTTGGTAAGTGAGGTGGAGGGTAAGGTTGGAGGAAGATGGAGAAAGTAAGGAGAAAGAAAGGAGAAAGGTGGGGTTAGTGTGAAGGAAAGGTGAAAGTAGTGGGTTGCAAAGTTGGGAGAGAGGGTGAATGAGAAAAGAGTAACGAGAAAAGGAAAAGGAGAGGTGACTAGAGGAATGTAAGAAGTAAAGAGAGAAAGTGTAAAATTGGACGAGGAAGTGTTAAGAGGAATGTACAGTAAATTGAGGGGAAAAAGAAAGGGGTCGTGATAATTCAAGATATGCTTGTGGGAAGGGGACCTGGTCAAAGAAAGTTTGGAAGAGGAAGTGAGATTACCCTAAATGAAATTGCAGGGATCTTGCCAAATTGATGATGCGCTTTATGCTCCTGTATGTGTCATCTTGACTCAGTTTGGCCTTGCAGAAGTGTGTTATAGAAGATAAAGGGGGGATAAGGTGGGGTAGGATGGGCATAAGGTGGAAGTAAAGTGGGGACGAGGTAGGGAGTAAAGATGGGGTAAGTTGGTAATCGAGGCGGGGGGTAAGGTTGGAGGAAGGTGGGGGAAGATGGAGAAAGATGGGGAAAGGTGTGGTTAACGTGAAGGAAAGGTGAAGGGAGTGGGGTTCAAATTTGGGAGAGAGGGAGAATTAGAAGAGAGCCTCGAGAAAAGGAAAAGGGGAGGTAAGGAAAAGGGGAGGTAGAGAAAAGTACGAAGTAAAGGGAGAAGCTGTAAAATTGAACGTGGAAGAGGCAAGAGGAATGTACAGTAAATTGAAGGGAAAAAGAAAGAGGACTTGATAATTCAAGAGATGCTTGTGGGAAGTGGACCTGGTCAGAGAAAGTTTGGAAGAGTAAGTTAGGATATACTAAATAAAATCGCAGGGATATTGCCAAAATGAAAATGCACCGTTAGCTCTATTTCGAGTCACCCTGACTCAGTTTGGCCTTGCAGAAGTGTGTTATAGTGTAACGTTTGTTCCCTGCTGCTGCTGTGGGTAAGGCAGAGTAACACATTTCTGACGTGATGGTCTTATTTATTCACAAGGATTATTTCTTCAGGTCCTTATTTCGCGGCGACGCCCTTTATGTTCCGAGGTTTCCCTCGACCTCGTCATCCTCCCTTTAGGAGGTTCCATGGCCTACCTCGACCTCGTCATCCTCCCTTTAGGAGGTCCCATGGTTCACCTTGATCTCCCCTTCCCTTTAGGAGGTTCCATGGCCTTCCTCGACCTCATCATCCTCCCTTTAGGAGGTTCCATGGCCTCCCTCGACCTCATCATCCTCCCTTTAGGAGGTTCCATGGTCTCCCTCGACCTCGTCATCCTCCCTTTAGGAGGTTCCATGGTCTCCCTCGACCAGGGGAGAAATAAGGGTGAGGAAGGGAAGTCCAATATGTGAATATTGAGCCCTGGGGAAAGGAAGAAAAGGAAGAAAAGGAAGAAGGGAAAGAAGAGGAAAAAGTAGATGATAGGAAAATATCGTAATATGGTAGATAATGAGTACTGCAGCCGTGATATGGTAGATAATGGGTACA